ATGCAGGAGGTATATAATTACACTGATATTGATATGGAAAGCACGGCACGTTGATCATCATAATTACGATACATATTGTATACATGCGTACATACATTTTGCATATTAAGCGTGTAATCCGGGATTGCATAAACATCGTACTGTAGCAGAATTTTTCGCTTGACTGCTGTTCAAATCAATCGATGCGGTTAATCGTAACAGGCAGCTAACGCAATCGGATGGAATTAGATGAAGTATTAATTAAATAAATCTTGAATATTCCGACGATAGATTTCTCGACGAAAACTCTAATAATAAACTCAAAGGCGCCGCTGAACAAGAGTTTTTTTTTTTTTTTTTTTTTTTTTACTTTCCATTTTACATCCCTTGCATTAAAATTCTGTTCGCGCTAAGAAATTAAATCATTACGAAATCTTCTTCACGATATCCGCGGCATTGTTGGTCACGCGATTGCGTCATCTCCATTAATTTATCTCGAAGCCGATTTTTCTTAATGGTTATCACCTTTTCCAATCGGAACGGGAGCGTTTCCATTTCAGCGCCCGAGTCGGAGCGAGGACGACAAGAAGCTGAAAATGCGGCCGGGGGATGGAACGAGGTCAAGTTGATTTTATCTCCTTGTAAGCGCGCCTTCGAAACCCAACCGACGTTATTTACGGCCAATGCATTTTCATCGGCTTTACGTTCAGGGTAGAAGCGCGCCCGGTCGCGAACATCGTCGACGTATATCGCATGAACTCGATATAAGACTGCGAACATGCAGTGTCGGATTAGATAAATAACCTTCATAAGAAGAAAATGGATAACAACGTCGATACATTTATACAACGGGAACAATGGTACATAAATTCGTAAGACAATTCGCTACGTATTGAACGCTTTGCGGATTGTTGCGAGAAAACCATGTATTATGAAATGAGCAGAAAAATCATTTATTCTCTCTTTTTTGAGACGTATATCTCGGTCAAATTTATCTTTATAATTCTAGATTATTTTATAGAATTTTGAAATAATAAATCAAAGTAAATTGTATTATTATCAAATTACGCAAAAATTTAGTGATTATTTGTCGGATATTTATGATGTATCTAATCAAATATTTGTATAAATAATGATATATTATATATATGTATATATATATATATATATATATGTATAGATAATTGCAATTTGCAACTACTTCTTGTTTCTGAGATGTTCTGGATCTATTTGAACGCGCGCGGGAGTTTGTAGATAGAGAAGTTACTGCTCTCGCTCATTGCAAACACGATTCGTTCTTTGCGAGTACGGGCGACAACAATCGATAGCGGTTATCTGCGTCGAACCAAATATCGGATCGTACGGAAGAAGGGAGCCAAGAGGCATAGGGAAACGGAAAAGGGGATGGGATACACAAACGGCGTGCCGAATTTACGAGAGCGACGTTGGTTGTTCAAATACTATCAAATTCGAATCCGATTGAGAGCAGGAGCTTAGCGATCCTGCCGATCCTTCCCATCTCTCGATCGAAGGCTTCGGAATTCTACTCTTTCCTCGTCGAGTTAACATCAGAGAAATCAGGTCACAGTTCACGCTTATCGATCGCTCGACGAGAATCTACCGGGTACTTATTCTTCCGCGCTGCGGTTGAGAATGGAAAAGAAAGGAGATCAATATCGGCGAACCGGATATTGAGAGGTATAAACAGATAACGTAAGTTTCGGATAACCCCGTTTAAGTGCCGGTTTCGCTCCGAAGCGTGCACGTTTCTCGAGAATGAAAAGCGAAAGAAGAAAACAATGAATTTTCTCGACAATGGGAGAAAATTAAAGACTATTATAATGAAAAGATTTAATCGAATTAAAACTTTAAAGTTACTCTAATTACATCCTTAAAATTAATTCTTTATACATTAATTAGGAACATATTGGCGCAAATTTTTAAATTATATTCGGAAAAAATTATTTATAATTATTTCTTCGTTATATCGAATCATGATACGGGATAAGCTTCAAATATTCGCATCTATCACATTTCGTGGAACTGGCGTAATAGATAGCACGCTCGTTTTCTTCGTCATCCGCTCGCTTTCATCCCGCACGAGGGGCCAAAGTCCCGATAATTATAATCAGTCGATTTCAGCGTCAAGGCAAGGGGAACGATCGTCGGAGTCAGGGTGATTCGGGGAGATTGGCGGCGGGAAGAGGGAGTGGTGGACGCGAGGGGATGATGTTGTGTGTCGTCTCCACTCGCTGCGATAGAGGGTGGACAGAGCATTTACATCATTTAATTTATGATCCTCTCTCCGCCGCGATCAGCCTGGACTATGGGGTCTTCGCACGCACACGCGTACACGCGCCGCGGGATATATCAAAGCCGTACGCGTCTCGTACCTATTTGCTTACGTATATACTGACGCACACAAGATCGCGCTCACTAATGCAATGGCAGAATAAATTTGCATATACATGTGACCGTGTTCGAACGGAACCGTGCGCGACGGAAAGAGGGAGGACAAGAGGTCCTGATGGAACCTACGAGCAAGAACGGGAATGGAAGAACACATCGGCGTTTCTCTTCGAAAACCCATGGAATATAGCCGGTCTTGGATGGGAGCTTGGGTTGGCTGATGGTCATCGTACGACTTCGTAACAAGGGAAGCATTCGATCGAGTAGTGCCACTAAAAAAGTAATGCGGTTGCTTTAAGTAATTTCATTTGGTAGAACTTGGTCCTTCGGTTTCCTTTTCCTAGTTTTATAGCGATCGCTGTATTCTTTTTCTTTCCGCTTTTTTTCCTCTCATTCCATCCTTATTTACATGTTTTTCGCTAATCAACTCGATTAACAATTAGTAGATTTCGCGTGCTGTTGTAGAATTTTTATACCTAGACGAGCAAACATGATCTCCACGAAAGTCAACAATATGCTCGTTGAGCTTTTGCATAATTCTCTTCCTTTTCTCTTCGTGCGAGAAAATCGCGGTCTCGCGGTTGTAACCGGCTGCCGGCACCGGATGACAACTTGCGGCGGAAACTCTGGGTATTAACGGCGGCGAAACTCGAGGAAACGGGCCGTCTTATACCATAACCTGTAATGTGTAAACGGGAGTATTTGGCCCGGGGATTACCGAAACTCGAAGTTTGATTGGCCGTGCCAAGAGTATCAAGTTTTGGCTGGGGCGCGTGAAACTTCGGTTAATTTGCCGGGGTGTACTGGGCGCAGCAAACCGAGTTTGGTGGTGCGGAAACGGAGAGAGTGCAGAGCAAATCGCACAATGTCGTCTCTGATTGGATTGATTCGTTTCGAGCTTTTCTTTCTGCGGCGATACCCAAGAGTTCTCTATAGAAAATACGAATCCTACCGTCAGCGAAACTACCTTTCGTTGCGCAGCGACAGAATGCGATAAAACGCGTTTGCAATTGGTGGAGGGGTCAGGGTGATAAAATTACATTTTACAGAAATTATTGCTGAACATTTCATTGGTATGATATGCCAATTTGTTATGATATTTTATAAATTTATTAATTACGATATTTTATTTATTATAATAATTTGCATAATATTTGGATAACCGCTTTTGAATACTTTACTAAAAAATATTAACTTTTACATTATTATTCGCTTAGAGAAATATTTTTGAAATATACGATTCTCACTGTTAGATTATTTAAGATACATTTGACGTCATTATCGATAATATATGCACGTAAATATATAACGCGTATAAATTGAATAATCGACATGTATAATCGCCAATACATTTTATTCATAATATATGTAATATATATTTCCTATGTTTTCATTATCATAACATTATTAGAGCAAATCATAAATTTTCGTTTCAACAAAGTTTTCATCGTAGCGAGAATATTTCTCACAGAAGAGAGCATTAAATAGATTTAATGTACCGCATTTTAAATACAATTTCGTGGGTTTGCCACTTTAGCCAATATATTAGACCCTTAAATCGCATCGATACACTGCACCGGAATCTCCAATAAAATCCCGTCGAGTCGGCGCGGTGCCGGCGAAGGAACGATCAGAATTTCGACGACCTTATTTTATCACAATGAAATTTCAAACGTTATCGGTAACTTCAACCGGATAAAGATATAATTTTTATGATCATGGAATTTTATAATTATATAATTTATGAGAGAGAGAGAGAGAGAGAGAGAGAGAGAGAGAGAGAGAGAGAGAGAGAGGTACGGTTTTTTTAAAGCAAAGTGATAAATGAAGGTCTATCATCCTAATACCTATATATCGAACGAATTGGCGCTTTCGCGTGACTTTAAATTAGAACATGCAATTACGCGAGACCGTATTTACTTCCAATTAGTTTACGATTATCCTTCGGTCTCCTCGTTTCCTTTCCCCATCTCTTTCTCTCTCGCTGGATATACTCTCGTTCGTTTACCACTGAAACCAACTGAAATTGATCTCTGCGTAACGATACGTTCGAGTAATTCATGCTTTTCACGAGTGACCGAAAAATTGCCGGTATTCAAAAATTGCTGAATAAATAGACGCTTTCAAGACATTCTCATGTACCCTCGTTTTATTCGTTAGCTCTAAGTACTTGCATAACAGTCACTTGTCAAAATTGAAACAATTCTCGTTGTAAAATTTATTGCGATATATTGCTGAGGCTTGCGAAATCATATTTCAGTGTTGCTGCAGACAAATCCCCCTTCCCTCCTTTTCGGAGACAAAAATGCCACTCTTTCTCTTTTGCGGCCTCTCCGCGTCAAATATTGTACGCACAAAATGGAATTCCTCAATTTACAACGTATATATACCGTGTAACGTAGATATGCATTCGAGTTTCACTACACTTTCTGTACAAAAATTTTCGTCTCGAATATTTTTCGGCGTAGAATTTCACGACATTTTTAGCTTAGGACAAAGCAAGCATTTTAAATGCAGTTTGAATGCGATTAAAATTATGTGAATCTAATTTTGTACGCTATAGTCCATCAGGGAAGAATGATTTTTCTATATTCTATTTTTCTATGTTGCAGCATGTCAATAGACAACACCAATTGGCTATGGCTCGTGTATTAAAGCCACAACTGCCGCCCTCCAAGCCGCCTCTCATTTCTTCATGGCAGCTACGGTGAGTGAATAACATGCATTTAATACCTGAAGAATTTGCGGCTTGAGATATAATATTCTTATAAAGTAATATAATTAATATACAACTCCGAGAACTATTTTTAGCATACTAACATTATTTTATTATACTAACATTAAAATTAAACGTTCGAAAAATATGACAGAAGCTATCAGATATCGACAAACTTGTATTCGAAAAGATCTTCTAGTCCGCTTTCAAGTATATTCGAAAATCGATTTTTCTATCTCAAGCCACATTTTCGATTTCACCTGCCTCGGAGTAGCGATCGTTTATTAGGTCGTGTATCCCCGATACATGTATGTATATGTGTGTGTACGAAAGACAGAAAGCCGTTTTACCTTCTCTATTTCTTTCTCATTCCAATAGAATTCAAAATTCCAAACCGCCCCTTCCGGATATTTGTTCATCGTATATCTTCGAGTCGGTCGTACGCTTTTTCTCGGTGCGATCGTCACGTTGTCGATCACAAAGAGAAGAGAAACACTGTCGCGGAGTTGTCATGTAATTTATACATGTAACAGTTTAAGAATGACAGGTGAAACATAACCAGAGCAACGATATTTTAGGTTTTCTTGATAATAATCATATCAACTATATTCGGTTTGATTCCTCTCTCGCGTTTCTTTCCGATACTCTGGTAACCGGAAGATGTAATGTCAGATTCAAATATCACGTCTAAGTGTCACTTTCTGAAATATCTCGATGTCTTTTACGGAATACTATCGTATATTTTTGAATCATTGCGTTATAAAATGGGTCGAAAGGATCGTGTATGATGTTTTATTAGATGGAAAAAAAATCTCTAATATTTATTAACATAAAAATCTAACGAATAACATTTATTTTTTCACGATTATCTGAGTGTTTTTTAAACTTTTCTGTGGTGCAATTTACATATATTTTTTTAAACTTTTGCATAAGTGAATAAACATTTATATTTAATTTCCGAGAAACCAATGCACGCGTTTCGAGGATTTACGGAATATCTGGGGCTGAACAGGCTAAAGATATATCTCCTTAGAGATACATCGCGAGATCAGCTGCACACCATTACACAGACGTGCTTAATCGGAAAAGCGACGCAAGATGAAAGAGCCGTAAAGAGAGGCATGGCTTCGCGTTTAGAGAACGGTGTTCGCCGTTTGAAATACGTGCGTGTCTCGATGCGCGGGGGGGTGGGACGAAGGGAATGGGGTATGTAATCGAGGGCTGCCGCGCGTTCGAATCGCGTCGACTTTGCTGAATGTGCGGTGGCGCTTCGATTAATAGTTATTGGTTTCGTTGCCGGTTGCAGCGGCTGCCACCGCCGCCGCCGCTTCGGCTTCTTCTTTTCTGCTCTCCTCTTCCGTGACGGAGAACCGTGATGCCAACCGCATCGGCAACTCCGTGTAATATTAATCGTTTTCGAATCGCGCTGTGAAACGGAGCGGTTCAACAGAGATGCGGGCATCCGCAGGATACGAAAGATACGCGTAATTACGCCTTCCATTCAAGCAATGGATGTTTGATATGAATTTTTCAATATTCTCTTATCGTATGATACCTTCGCTGTGTCGGCAAATAAAAAATATCAATGTATAAACTAAATGAAAAAAATGAAAATAAATTTAACGTGAAAGAAGCTTTGCGAGACAAGATTATCGCGTGTAAGATTAAAAAATGATTGACATTTTTATCAGCTGACAGATACGTCAGATACATGAATGTTTCGTAGAAACCGTTAACCGTTAACGGAAAGAAATGGTCGTCGATTTCGCGATATTGATGTAGCTTCGAAGCTACATAACTCGATAACATTAATTGCTTTCGAATCGCTTCGCGATTTGTCGTGCGAGCAAACCAAGGGGATGCGAGCGCTATCGACGCGAGCGTTTCAGTTTGATCGCACCATCCAACAAACACGACTTACCGCCGTCCCTGGTGCATCGTGTATCGTCTGGCGTTTATCTCTAGTCGATAACACGCGCGATACGCACCTGCGTCGAATTTTATGTCGTCACAAGCTACTCCGAGGTCTCTGGTAGGCTTAAAATGCGGAAGAACTACTGAAATATAGCGCACTAACTTTTTTTTCAATCTTTTTTGTCAATCTTTAACCCTACGATTCTACTTTGATGTGTATCTGTAAAAAGTTTGAGTCTGCAAGAAATTAATTAATTTTTTTTACATATTTGTTGCTGCACATTGATTATTGTTGACAGACCTGCACAATTATTGATAATAATATGAAAGCATTTTGATTCCTTTAATTTCTTTATCTCACTCGATTTATTTCACCATCGATAAAGATTATTTGAAAAAGTTTGATTATAGGAACTAGTCTTATGAAGTTTGACAAGTTTGAGGAAATAATGAGAAATAATTGGACATCGCATTTTTGTTAAGGTAGACGCGGATAAGCATTTTCTCTTGCAAATAATGGGAAGAGTTTAAGGGAAAAGGGAAGAAGGACACAGAAGGTGAACATAAATATTCAGTCTCTAATCGAGCGCCTCATTCCACCGTACCATCGTTAATTTTCCGTAAAGGCCGATGAAGAGAGTAAAAAGTTAAAACCGAGTGTATCGGAGAGTGTAAAAGCATAGACGCTACGTAACGAGCAATGGGGAGGCTCTTCCGGTTACTTTTGCGTCGAGTTATTGCGTCCGCGCTCCTCGCGATCGTTAAAAGGTAAACGAGCGGATGGTTCTTTTCGCGAGACGATGCTTTATCGCTTTATAAGTAGTCACGATGAAGTAGACAATCGTGAGGGCTATTACTGCTCGCCTCGCTGGTCGGAGCTAAAGCCTCCGGTTCGTTTGTAAGTGCGTTCATTACAGTCGACTAAATTTTCTGTCTGCGCCTATATTAAAGATAAGAATATATTATAAAGAAATCTATATATTATCTTTAAAAAAGAAAAATCTGCGTTTACTTAATCTTCGCTTCTTGGTACAAACTAAATCTTGAATTGAAATCAATTTCTTTCCGAAAAATTGGCAATATAATGTTAATCAAATTTTAAGTTTATTTGATTATCAATCATTTTATAGATGAAAAGAACGTATTTCTACTTTTTAAAATTTATTTTTATTTATATCGATAAAAGATTCATTTTTTTCGCGAATATATAGATAATTGATCGTGGATAAGATATAAAATGTAAAACGGCATAGCGAATTAGCCGTGCATTTGAGCCTCATTCCGTTTGCGTTGGGAATACCCGTGCTAAGCGAGTCGTGCCTCTAATTTTAAGGCAAAGCAAACCTGACGTTTCCATGCTGTTGGTTTTCATTAAGAGGCTGGGCGGCGAGCAAATGTAACCGACTGGCCGTGCTTAGCATTCAACCCCGTCTCTACCAGTCTGGTTTGCTATAAGTTTTCGCCGGTCCAGCGACCTTCCTCTCTCGTTGTTCCAGTCTCGGTAGAACATGCGGAGACGATAAAGGTGACATGCAAACGAGACACGTGCATCTCCTGTCCCTAATCAACGTGCCAATCGAACTCACGTGCGTTAACAGTTTTCGCTCGCCGTTTTTTTATCATAATTTATCAAACCAACATTATTTAAGTAAATTGTAATTACATATTCTGATTGTATCTGTGTGCAACATATATGTTTATCAAGAACACACATTACGATGAATAGGAATTACATTAATAATATATTTGAATATAATTAATCAATTTGAAAAAGATATAAAAATGGTACAAAAATATACGACGCGTGACATACGTATCTGCTTATCAGTCTTGCTCCTAAATGTGAATTCGTTACTTCTGTTTATTTCAGAAAAATCGAACATTTCGAGATACGGTCTATCGCTGAAAAAGGAGAGCGTCGGCAAAATCCTTTGAGCGTTTCTCGCTCGCGTTTTTCATTAATTAATTTTTTTTAATGTTTTAACGGGCGCGAGAGCCCCGGAATTCGGGTCGGCGCAAAGTAAACGCGCCAACAATTTTGCACGAGATATACACGCGCGACGGGTGCATTAGCGGGACCTTAAATACCGCCACGTGGCTTCGCGCGGAATGCTCGGGCGGCTTTGCCCGTCGAGACCTTTCTCTCCACGCCCACGCATTCGCTTGCTCGGTATCTGTTTTACACCGCCGCGCCGATAAGTCGCTGCCATACACGTGCAATGTAAACGTTTCGTTACGGCGAAGCCAGGGAAAATGGAAAAGGGAGATTTCTGGCTCCTCTTATATACTCTTATTGCGCTATACTCGCCGAGAAGAAGAAATCAGACGCACTCCGGACTCGACCGAGTTTCCTACGTTAGCGTGCCGACTTAGCAGCTTTCGCAGTATCTCAGGGAGACCAATGAAGTGAGTTCTTCGTCGGAATCGCGAGAGATAAAATAGTGGAACTCCTCTAACTCTGAGGGATTACTTAGTTTTACGTCTGACGCTCGACTCGCGCTTAGACATGCAAAGTTGTTCGAGATATCTTCTTCTCAACTCCCTCGTCGACGTAAACTCTTGCTTTTTTTCATACACAAAATTTTCCGAAAATGAGTCATGAAAATTAAAGTCTAATAGCATTATAAATCTCTGTACACCTAAATAACTTTGATGTATTTTTTTTAGTTGTTTGTTATTGCACAGTTGGAAACAGATTAATGCTTTGTTCTGTAATTCTTTCTAGAGAAAATTATGTTACACGATAGAATTCCCGTAATGCTCTTTTTGTCGTTACAACGAATGAATTATCTCCTTTGGCAGCAGACAGCTTCGAGAAATGAGAATGGAAAGGGTGGGCGGCGCACGAAAATGGCAAGAGGTGCAGAGAAAATGAAAAAAAAAACAGCTTTGTGTGTTACAGCCCACAACAATACCGGTGATGCTAGAATCGTTCTCTCAAACGATAGTCAGGCCGGTGCACAATGGGCTGCAGTTTATCGGGCTTTTATTATTCCTCCTTCGAAATATCGTCACTTACCGCGTATGTTGAATGTTTGAATATTTAGTTTTTATTATCGGCAAATATAGCTTTTCTC